TATACTTTATGAAAATCAATCTGACTTTCCAAAAGATCATTCTTGTGCAATTGCACTTATCTCTATGACTGACAAGTGGCTTAAATCCTTTGATGAAGAAAATTGGTACTGAAGTGATAATTTTCCAAAGGCAACCTACCTAGTAGATTATGAAATTTTCTTGAAAAGATAAAAATCTATTCAATATAATTAAGATACTCTCCAGTGGTTCAAATCCTGCTTGAGCAATAGGTCTCAACAAGGAACAATAAATGGACACCTATCTGAAATAAAAATGATAAGTTGTGGAGTGCCACAAGGTTCTGTTTTTGGGGCCATGTTCTTTGTTCTGTTCACAAATAACCTATTCCTAAAAATAGGAGGTGCAGTCTCATCAACTGACATGTGTGCTGATGACACTAATTTATTTAATGGTCAAAGCAACCAAGTTTTAATGGGAAAAAAAACCCTACAATCTGCTCTTAACAGACTTGAAATATGGTATCAAGAAAATAGTATGATCCTCAATAAAGCCAAAGTATAGGTCTTGTAAATATCAACCCTGCAGAAAAGAGCAAAATTGTAAAATAAATTATATGCTGCATGTTCTCCATGCAAATGCAGATCTGAAAATGACATGTTTTGATATAATTCTTGGAATGTTTGTAGACCATAACTTGCAGTAGTCTTCTCATCACATAAATTATATTTCAAAGAAGATAAACTCTTATTTTTGGCTCCTAAAGAAATTCATTGCCTTCATTCCATTACAGTATATTCCACTGCATATTAACTACAGTAATATAATTTAAGGGAACATGTTTGCTACAAAAGTGAGAAAATTTCCAGATTCCAAGAAAGGGCATAGAAAATAATTCTTGATTAGCAAACAGAAAATTTTTAAACTCTAATGCTTACATTCAGAGTTTTACTAATACATGAAAGAATATTTTTCACAAAGGCTAAAATAATGTACAAGGTGTTTACAATATCTGTTCCCACTTACCTAAACTCTATTTTCCAGGACGCACTACTGATACCCCCAATCTAAGATGATTGGAAGAGCAAAATTTCAAATTACCCAAGCCAAAAAAGGAATTATTCAAAAATAGTTTTTAAATTTTCAGGTGTACTTGTTTGGAATTACATTCCACAAGATATTAAATCAGCTCGAAGCATCTCTTCCTTCCCACAACAGCTGTATCAGATAAATGAAATCATTTTGGGGGGTGGGGGTAAAAAATGGTGTACTTATGAAAGTAATAGTGTACCTCTTAAAGTACACATTACACCATCTACCTCTTGTGTTTTATTTTCATTTCTGCAGCAATGCAGCACTTATGTGAATCTTTGATTATAGCATATTTGAGAGAAAAAGAGTGTGTGTGCATGTCTGTGTGAGAGAGAGAGCATATTAGCTTGTAATGTATATATATATATATATATATATATATATATATATATATATATATATATATATATATATATATATATATATATATATATATATATATATACATAATTGACTGTCTCAACAAAGATTTGTTTTCATTTGCAACTGAGATACCATCTGAAAATAAAATGTATTATTATTATTATTATTATTATTATTATTATTATTATTATTATTATTATTATTTGCACACCACATCTTTTAAATTGTTTGACGAATGACTCAACATATTGTTTCCTCTCCATCTTGCTTTTGAAGCTTTTACTGACATTGACTTAATTTGTAAGGTCATTAGAGAACTATATTTTGCTATGAATGTATTATGTTATGTTAAAAATACATGTACTAGAAGTAAAATTCATTATCTATATCTCTTTGTTTTATTACTTATCCAGCTCATAATTATATGTATATCATAAATATTGAGATGAAAAGGAAAAGAATTGTTAAACCATAGAAGAGACAATGGAAATTTAAATGAAATCAGTAACAAAACACATTTTTCTACCATTTTTGCTTGACTGTAACAAGCAAAACCAGACTGTACATTACATGGCTACAGATCTGGCTGTTTGCAGTTGGTTGTGTGTGTATCAAAAGGGTCAGTATGGTACAGGAACAAAAATTGTATGGTACTATTGCCAGATCTGATGTAATCAACTACAACCATGTTAAAGGTGCAAGAGGTAGGAAAACAGATATCAGTTCTTGAAAATTGAATTAAATACCTTTACTAGAGGTTTATTTGTTAATTTACCTTCATCTTGGCATTGTACTCAGTGGCATTGGATGTACATGTATAATTTGGTATGTATGTGTAGGGTTTAAAGGCACATCAGCACAATGTTGTCTAAAAGTTGTTGATTAAAAGGTAAGTTACAAATATGTAGAATTTTGATTTCTATACCTGAGAAATAAATTTACATTATTATCAACTGTAAAACAGGTGCCATTCATTTTGCATTAAAGTAACTATTTTTCCATCTTAGACTTCTAAAAGGTTACATATTAGCCAAATTGTTGCATGTACTCTTGTGAACCATATGATGTAGGCCTTCTTTGTTTACAGAAAATATAACACAGGGAGAAGCTGATGATCAAGAAAACAGACTTGCAACATTTTGGAAGAAATTTTAAATGCAATGCCCTCAAGGGCTTGTATCATTGATTGCAGTTTACCTATAAATCATACACATGTTATATAATAACCTGAGGGAGATTTCTGCCATTTCTCCTAGGATCTATTTAAAAATCAACACTGATATCTCAGGCTACACTTCATGCATTATAATTTTAGCACTGATGTTTAGCTGAGAGATTCAACCTTTTAGGCCAATATCAAATTCACTATCAAATTCTAATGGATATGGGCTGTTTTCTAATGTTACTACTAGAAATGGCCTTCATCATAGCATTGGGCTGAATGGAATATTGCCCTCCCATTGGTCGATAAAAAATGACATGTTGCACCTTGTGATAACTTATTTTTAGTCAACCCTTCTATTCTATAGTAAATATACTATTAATAGGTAAATTGTAAGCAACAATATGAAGACCCGCGGTGATGCCAGTGTTGGTGGCAACAGCTAACATGAACAATAGAGGGGATGGTGGTTATTGACTGAGCGACAATCAGGAAATAAAAAATATCACTTACTTGCATACTTACGTGAATCAGAAATATATCAGAAGAATATAGAAACTAAGCTGTAGTTACCTGAATTGACAAGTGCAGATTTTAAACCTAATTGTTTTTAATCTTGTATTTTCTTTCTTTCTAAAATTTAAAGCATAGAAACTGATGGATTTTCATTTTATAAGTGACGGTTGAGCTGTGGCAATGGATCACATTCAACATGGAAAGCATGTATAGTAGAGAATTCCACAGAGGCTATCATAATGCGTTGTTTTAATTGGTTTTTTAAGAACTGGATTACTCTGCATAATATCATTAATGTAGTCACACCATTGCTTATGGATATTATCAAATTCTTCCAAAATAAAATCTAATTACATTAACTTTGTCAACCATCACTAAAAAGTTGGCAATAAATTGAGGGCACAAAGCCTCCACAGATGGAAAATTCTTAAAAATATTTAAGATAGCTAGAAAATTCTAAAACATTAAGTTTAAGATAAGATAGCGAAATCAGCTTGTATGAACATGTTCACTGAAGGCATTTTTGCTAAAATTACAGACTGGTTCATAAGTAACTATTATAGATAAAGGAGTGGAAAATTAATGATATACAGAGCATCACTGCAAGTTGTCTGCTCTTAGTAACTCTCCAGATTTATTGGTAGCTGTATGGCATAAAAAGGAAGTTTGATAGCCTGCAATGTATGTGTGAGGCACACATATTTGGGTGAGTATAAAGTAATTTGAGCATGTAATTCTTGCCCAGATTGGTTAATAGGAATCCCTGGATCTTTGTTTTTAAATTTGCTGAACGAAAAAAAGAAGTAGCTAAACTATTGGAACTCTCACTTTAAAGAACCAAGATATATTTATACAATATCATCATTGAGTTATCCCCTACTAGAATACAAAGAGCATGTCTGTGTAACCGTAATGCTAAAAAGTTCACCAGCAATATACTCAACATCTTCATTTATGTCATTAGTATGTAGAGTTGCAAAAGATAAAGCATGAATGGGATTTAGTCACTGTATATACACACTGTTAAGTAAAGTCAAGCTGGAAATGACAAAGAGGCTGATCTGCAATAGTGTAATGTGCATGCAGATCAGGGTCTGTTTCAGATCTGCTAATTACTCATAACAATCTTCACAGACCCAGATCTGTCTTCGCATAATGTGCCTGCAGATATGTCTTTGCAGTTTGCAATTGGGCTTGTCTTATAAGCAAGTACAGACAGAATTTAGAATTTTAAGTGGACAAAGTCTTTTATATTCATTCGCATGAAGATGAAAAATGGAATTTTAAGTTGTGATATTATGTTTGTGATTTTATTTCAATAATGGCATACAAAAAATTCTTTTTCTATAATTGGTTTAAATCATATACTAAATAGGTTATTAAATTTGTACTGACAAATATTTGTGTCATCTTATTGTTTTGGTAGGCTGACTCAAAAGGTCATTGGCCAGTGCCAAAACATTGCATCCATAAAAATATTAATCAGTACAAATTCAATAACCCATTTTTTCTTGTGTATAAATATATCATCTCTCCATGTCACTCTGACCCTATACTCAGACCATGTTGTTAAATCTAATATGAACACTGGTGTTCAGCACATGCTATTTTGGGAGCTAAGCAAAGGACTTGGACTTGACACATCAGTCATTGTGGTAAATATCTTGGATATCTAGTAAGGGTGTGTCTGGGTGTGATTTAGAGTTTTAACATAGCTTTAACAATTTTTCAGTCATATCACTATGATGTCTTCATTGTGGCAGTTTATAGTGATGTTTAACACTGGGGCATAATGCCACTGACATGTAGCATAATGTCCCACTCAGTCACATTATCTGACCAGTTGTAACACTGAATGCTTTTGCCTAGTGAGGCAGCTGCTAGTACCATTTTTATAAGTCTTTGGTATGATTCAGCCAGGCTTTGAACATGTGACCTTCCACATTCAAGGTGGATTCTCTAACCACTAGGCCACTGAAGCTGTCAATTAATTTCAGTCAGTAGCATATATTTGATTTTTTCCAGTTTAATTCTGTTAAATTCTGACTGTTGTAAAGAGAATGGGAGTATTTTGATTAAGGTAAAGTAGGTGGAACAATTGCATCCATTGAGGGAACATATAGGTATGCTTCTGGCAAGGAATTTACATACATTTGGTGTAAATCAAATAGCTTTGAAATGGGATTTTAAGATGAGAACTGACTACATCTTTTATTGTGGCTTTATGTGTGTACTATATAGTTTGAAAAACAATTCCTATTGTAAAAATATGGGCAGAAGCTCTTCCCAAAATTGGGTGCTGCCTCCATGAAAAACATGCCTTATTCAAAGTAACATTTTGCCTTTAAAAGCTGGAGAACAATAAAATATATGCATACCAACACTGTCCACTTATTCTGTTGTACAAAGCACCACTCCTTTTTAGGCTTATGATGTTTGTTCTACTGATTACAAATAACCAGCTACACAGACCAAGATTTACTGGTGCATTATGCAATTGAAGATCTGGGTCTGTGCAGTTTGTAGTTGGACTCAACTTACAAGCAAGTAAATAAGGTGTGTCACTATCTAAAACTGATAGTAGATAGAATATGAAGCCTGTTTTATCAAGCATGGGTGATTATTCTCATTTCATTACACAAGTTATACATTGCTTGAATTACTAGATAGATACAAGAAAAAAGAATTTGAATTTTATAACATCGCACAAGGTTCAGAAATATAAATTTCATTAAATGGATGTCTTTTTTTTAGTGTTGTTTCCAGTGTCATGACTAGTTCCATTTACAAACTTACTGCAACTCAGACCTGGGTGGTAGTTATTATGCATAGAAATATTGATGTCCATATCAGTAAATGGACACAAATGTATAATGTACAGTTAGGACTTTTCTTCATTCATTTTCCTAATGGCATAAAAAGAAACAAATCAAATTTGATAGTTATATGAAATGAGGATAGTGTTGACACACTATTGACACAGTTTAGAAAGGTGAAAGTTGACTGTTACAAAATGACATGGGCGTTTTTGCTTGTGCCTTATTCAATTTCCTGAGTAATTCCTGGTGGTCTGTATCATTGGACTTCCTTGAGTCAATATGATTGTCCTTGGACTAATAACAAGGTCATTATGAAAACATCTATTGAATAACTTAACTCACAGTTCAACAGCACAACAAGATAAAGAGTATTTTCCAAAGGAAAATAGGAAATTTGTTTAAAATTAGTGTTTATGCATGCTGAAGTTGTTGGAATAACAGTCATTTTCATTCCCTTCATTGCTAATTAGAGGCACCACATAATTTCATGAAATTGCATTAGTTTTCATTTTTATCTAAAATTCTCCAAAAGTCCACAATCCCATAAACTTGTAAACTTTGCTGCTATGAAATTTGATTTTTAACAACTTTTTTTTACCTTAGATGAAATGTTTTATTTACATGTATTTGATTATAATTACATGTAATTCATATCAATTTATACTACTGACAGAAAACAGAACAAAATTTTTAAAAGCAAAGAAATTTCGCAGATTTCTAATTGATGAGAAAAGTCCACAAAATTATCAGTTTATTGTTACACAAACTCAGTAAAAGAATCATCACTTTGTGGAACCATTGGCTTGGGTTATTTGCATTTAGTGCATGACCACATGCAGTTTAATTACATGTTATGTACATACAGTATATCTAAAATTGTGAATCTTGCTTATGGGATTCCTTTTGATAAACACCTCTCCTGTCTTACAGTAGTAGTTCATTATAGCCCACACATACTTCACTGACTTTGGTAAAGTTTTGTCTTTGATGTTTATTTCTCATGCATTATTCATGATAGAATCATGAAATTGATGATGTCATGTGTTTCTATTTGTACCACAGCAAATATTTCTAGCTTTGGTTGTATTGGTACTAAACCATATTTTTCTAAATTTGGTTACATTTTTTCATTTAGCAGGTGATCATATAAGAATTTGGCATGCTTTATCTTTTAGTATTGCACCCTTACAATCAAAGAAGGTCACTGTGACCTACATTGCATCCTTTGCTAATATAGGTTCAGTTTGTATGTTTATGTCATGACCATATATACTTTTTTGATGCTATATACATCCAAGCCTACCAAGAGGGACCATTTCTGACCAGTGAAGGTGGAAGTAGGAATATGTTTCATTCTGTGTCAAACTTTCCACATGAATGACTGAGTTACATGGTATATTGCAATAAGCTACCCTGATAAGGGTTAACTTTTGTTCCACCAGCATAAATATAAGAATAGAAATTGTGTTTCCTGTCTTTTATACCCTGTCACCTGCAATGGTATTGATTCATGTTTTTATGTATGCATTGATGTCTGTGAGTGTGCATGTGTGTGCATGCATGCACATGTGCATGTATGTGTGTGTTTGTGTAGCTTAATAGCACATCAGTATAGTACTGACTATAATGGTGATTTAAAGTTCATAAAGATTAAATATTACAGAAAGATGCTTTGGTTAGAAAAGGGGTCAACATGATATCAGTTTAAAGATCACTTTACTCTGAACTTATTTTCTACCTGGTGATTATTGTTTACAAAGCCTGCTAGAGAAGTTAAAAGCCTTATAGAGTCAGTTTTGTAATAATTTATTAAGTTGTGGTTTTGATAATCGGCTCATTTGGAATGTTTGATTTGAGCAAGATACACTTTAACTGATAGTAGCTCTTCAGACTGAAAAAAAAATCCATCCTATGCATTGGTGTGGCATGGAGTAACCATACCAGAGCATCAGACTTTGTAGGCAGGAATACAGAGTGTATAGTTTCCTATGCCACACCAACCCATACGATGGATTATGTTTCTGTTTTCCAATCAGGCAAGAATGAAAAGAAACCATACAAATATGAGCATTTTCATTAAGGTTTCTCTGTCATTTCAAAAGCAAAAGCTTTGTTTTACAATAAATTATTTGTAGTAAAGAAGGAGTACTATTTATAAGCTGGCAGAATTTGCTTTTTCAATATTAATATCTATTGAAAATATCATAAACAGTGTGACTGAGTTCAGTCATATGGGATAGGTGTGTTCCACATAGGTCTTGTGACCTACATGGAACAAAGAAGTGAGAAAGATATATATTTCTCTTTGTCCTTTCACACATGTGTACCTGTGATATTTCACCCAATGGTATGAATTTTAAGCACTCTTGCTATCTTGCTTTCATGTAGTAATAAATTTGTTATCCAAACATTTAGATAGAAGTGTAAAGAATAGAAGATAGTATTTCCAGCCAAAGCACTGTTGAATTTAATTCCAAAGTAAGTGTCAATGTACATTCAAGTGTCAAAAGTAAATTCTAGAGGTGAATAGTTTATTCAGGCATGAGGAATTAAACACCCAGTATGGAGGACACTGTAGCAAAACAGGTTGATAATGAGATATGATGACCCCACTTTGGGACTCCTGGGGCCTCCACTTTGTGTCCTCTGAGGCCTCAGTATTCTATTTCTGGAATGAATTCTGGTCTTTGCAAGTTGCAGCTATTGCAACTTGAAGATAACTCAAATACAGGTAATTTCAGCCATTACTACGTGAATACCCCCTGTCATTCTATAAATTAATCATATTTGATGAAATGAAGCCAAATAATAGTTAATCTACATTTGGCATCAGTGTGCATGAAAGAACTTCAAAACAGTATGACAGAAATGTATTATGTCTTAGAAAATATTGAAAGGGGTGCAGTATTTGCAGTTATAAATTTTCATAATTTGTTTGCAAATGGAACTTATTTTGCATAACCTGCTTTAGTGTGACAAAGCAGTCTCTCATCTTCCTGTCATATCAACAACTTTTTATGTCTTGGGTTAAAATTTTTCCTTTGCCTCTATTTAATAAATGTTTGAGTTTCATCATACTGGGTGCAATTTTTTTAATGAAACTTTGACAATTTTTATTGCTACATGCCTGCTTGTCTTTTAACCTACAAGATTTGCATTATTTTTTTTTGTTATATTTATTTCATTTGCTTTTATTTTGTCAAGTCCCTGGAATTTTTTCACCTGTGTGTTCAGTCATTATGAAGATAAGACAATTGATTCTTTAATTTGCTTGGTCACCTATTCTGACCTTGGGGTGAAGGACACAGTCATAGATAATGTGCATTGAGGTTTAGGCTCAAGTAATTTTCATTTGTGCATACATGTCTTAAACTCCTTGATGCTTTTATTTTAATTCTTGCATTAATTTTCATTTTTGCACACTTGTCTTAAACTCCTTGATGTTTTTATTTTAATTCTTGCATTGAGTCATTATGAAGCTAAGACAGTTTATATTGTGACATACTTAGTCACCTATTTTGACCATGTTGTCAAGGTCACTTGTTTTAAATTGATATTTTGAGGACTTGACATGCAGGCCCTGCTAGCCTTCATTTTTTTTTTTGGTCTATTAACCAATTTAGGATTTCAGAGAAGTTCGATTAACTGAGGTTGAGAAATTTAATTTTGCAAATTTCTCTGAGACCACTGAAACTTCTTGACTGCTGAAAATGATCTCAGTAAACAGTGCCTGAAAATTTTATGTGCATATATGCATGTGTTTTTCATAGTCCTCTTGCCATTGCTAATGTGCAGATATTGATTGAGAAATGTTGAATCTTTGGCACTGTAAGAGTTCCATTTGTATACAAAATACCATCCTCATGGATAGAAATTTGATTTCTTTTAAGATTCTCCACTTCCCTGTCATAAGTTTAAGGTTTTATTAACTTTTGGCTACCAGCACATGAATCATACCTGCCTCACCTTAGATGTGGAAATAACTTTTATATGTAGTAATAATACACCTTGACATCTTCATGTAAACAAGATAACATTTCATCTTTTACATTACACTTTTTTTTATTCTTTAGGAGACTTTAATCTCCCTCATTGTCATAACAGTTTTGAAAATGTAATACAGATGTGGATTGACTCCTGTTTGTAAGCAGTATGGACTGTT